CGGCTTCAACAAGCCGATCGGGAGTCAGATAACTCATGATGTCCATGCATTTATCTTTCTCCACAGCAAGCACATCCTTGTAAATTTCTTCAATAAGGACTGGATCAGGACTCTTGCGTGGAAAGGCATTCCATTTACGGGGAATTAGGCCGTCCGGGACAGCCACGAAGAAAAACCGGTCTTTCCACCCTTTGATCGAAGTGGGATTGCCCTTGAACAGAATATGTCCCGTTCGGGCACTAGTGGCCAGATAGCCATGGGTTTGTTGAGGGGCTACTTTGAAGAATTGGTGGAAGAGTTCTAGGGTTGGTCGGGCGCCGGCATCTTTGCAACGACAAATAAAACCCGCCATTGCCCGATAGGAGTTCGGCATAATCTGGGCCGGTACAACTTCGTAGAAATTGAAGAAAGATATGAAAAAGGGGTGTAGTGGAAACCTAAGGCCGGCCCTAATTGAGTCAAAATGGACTATGGTCATTCCGGGCCTATGACGCATTGGGTGAAGCCCAGCTTGCAAACGGAAATCCACCGGGTCAGGGATAAGGGCCGGAATTTCGGCCCTATTGTGAGAGGTCAATTTTTGCCGCCTCTCCCTAATCAATTTTAGGTCAAGGGCATGGCGAGGAACATCGTTGGGACGACCGGCCGCCATAGAGGCTATTTCGTCCTCGGATTTGGTGTCATCGGAATCCTCGCTGGAGGAAGAAGAAGTGCTAGGGAGGTCCTCCGCCTCAGCCCTGGTATTCGTCGCCGGTTCAGTAGAAACACCGGCAAACGGAACGGTGATGACATCCACAATGGCGGCGTCACGGTCATCTCCATGAGAGGCCATCTCCGAATCAGAGGAATGCTCTTTGGGGCTCATCTCGGTCGAAGCCAGAAAGGAAGATAGGGAATCCGGAGTTGGGAAATTACCTGAGCAAAGGAAGCAGGGAGAAAATTGCAGAGGAAACAACGAAGGCCGAGGAATTGCAGAGTCGAAACCCGGAATTGAGAAGTTAAAGGCTAATTTATAGCCTTGAAACCGCCGTGTCGAGAACCAATCAGAGAGCGACACGTCACTAGGAGCATTTAAGCTAAACGCGTGTCTAATGAAAAGACTAAACGACGGTTATCATGATGAATATGGGGAAATGAAGCGGCAGCCGTCGAATCGCAGCATGGGGAACTGATTACTTCTGTACCCCGATCGCCATTCGGGGTATTATAACATTGATATACTTCCTAATGCACTCACTTCGTTCGAGACATCGGAAGTGGGGGACTTGTGTTGGGATATTGACCTAGAGGCCCAATACCCAGATCGGGAAGGCCCAAGATATCCGGCCCAAGCAACGAGCCCATCACTCTATGATGAATAGATCCAGTAAGAAAAGATACCGAACGGAGTTCGGCCCAAATAAAGGTTGGCCCAGTCAGAAGACATACCGAACGGAGTTCGGACTATATATCATACTTGGGCCAATTTTACAGCATCTTCAGTACAACCCGACATCCCGTTCGAGCAACGGCCAATCAACAAGTGGCCAGGTGCAATTAATGCCAGACTATGACATCAGCAAGTGGAAGCATGGATGACCAAGTCGGTGGGACAACGGCCAATCAGCAAGAGGCAGCCCATGCTCTCCATTAGTATAAATAGAAGGTTTCAAGTCATTGTAAGGGTTAGCATTTCAATACTCAAGCTCTAGAATAGCATCATTTGCCCTTATTTCTTGTATTAAAGCATAGTTTCCGACCTACCGATCGGGAAATTCCTTGTAATCAGATTGGTTAATTAATACAAGTGAGCTTTCGAGTTTTAGTTAGTTCAGATCTTATATTTCTTTACACACTTTGATTCTGGGCCATTCCTGATATATCCAAAGTTCGTGTTGGGCTTTCGGATCTACGGGATTTACCCTCAACACTACTGTAGATGAATAATTATTGGATTTCAGTCCCATTCCTAACCTTGATTTTATCACTTGATTTAAATCAAGTCCTTTTGTTAAAGGGTTTGCTGTATTATCTTTGGATCCAACAAAATCAACAGCAAAAACCCCTTGAGACACAAATTTCCTTATAGTTTTTAATCTAACTTGAATGTGTCTCCTAGTCTTTTGATTATACTTGGTACTCCTAATTTTTGCAATTGTGCTCATATTATCACAATGCAAACAAATAGGTGGAATCGGCTTGCTGAATATAGGTAACTCGGACATTAATCCCATAAACCATTCAGCCATAATTCCTGTAGTATCCAACGCACACAATTCAGCCTCAAAAGTAGACCGAGAAAGTACTATTTGTTTAGTGGACTTCCAGGCAACAACCTCACCACCAAATGTGAACACATAGCCGGTACACCCATAACTCCCGGAGTTCTTGGTTATCCAGCTTGCATCACTATATCCTTCAAGAACAGGAGGATACTTACCATAGTGCAAACCCAGAGAAATAGTTCCTTTCAAGTATCTAAACACTCTATCTAAGGCCTCCCAATGAGTTCTGTTTGGATAACAAATGTACCGACTTAGTTTAGACATTGAAAATGCAATATCAGGTCTAGTACAATTAGCTAAGTAACCCAAGCTACCAATCATATGAGATATCGTAATTGAGACACAGGAACACCACTTTCATTTTTATACAAAGCTACTCAAGGATCATAGGGTGTTTTAGCAATTCTACTATTTTTGAATCCAAATTTCTCAATTATTTTTTCAATATAATGTGACTGAGAAATAGAAATGCCTTCAGTTGATCTAGTTAACTTTAACCCAAGAATTACTCCAGCCACCCCCATATCCTTCATTTCAAACTTAGTTTTCAAAAATTTCTGGTCTCAAAAACAATATTATCATTAGTGCCAAATTATAATATATCATCAACATATAGGCATAAAATAATACTTATATCGCCTTTACATTTATAATAAACACTTTGATCGGCATCTATAAGAGTAAATCCAAACGAAAAAATTATTTTATCAATTTTTTGTTCCATTGCTTAGGGGCTTGCTTAAGTCCATATAAAGACTTAACTAATTTACAAACTTTTCTCTCATTGCCTTTTGCCACAAATCCTTCAGGCTGATCCATATAAATTTCTTCTTCAAGGTCACCATGAAGAAAAGTCGTCTTAACATCCATTTGATGAATTTTAAGACCATATACGGAGGCCAATGCTATGAGCATTCTTATCGTGGTCATTCTTGCAACAGGAGTGATGGAGTATATGGACCAGGACTCCAGGGCCCACATACTCGGGAGAACGGAAGGTACCACGACCACCTGGTGGGACCCTCGTCGACAAGGTGACCCTCATCGGCTAGAAAGAAGTCTACTCAGAAAGTGATCCAGAAGTCAGGAAGAGCCGGGTGACCTCGTCGACGGGGTCTTCGTCGGCCACACCCTCGTCAGCCGTGCCCTCATCGGCCACAGATGGCCTCCATAATAGGGTTTTATGCTTAATCTTTTCTATGTACCTTGTATCCGGCCCATTAATGGCCCTATTGTAAATGGGCCTCCCAAGCCCAAGACTTGGGAGCCCAGCCCTAATTTCTCCTATAAATACTCCCTCTGGGAGTAGCTGTAGGGGTTCACAATTCATTAATACAAAGCAAATATACTACTTCTATCTCTAGCTCTCACTTCTCTCTAGACTTATAGTCTATCAAGGAGCATATGTATCGAAAAAATCAATACCTTCTTTTTTGTTTATTACCCTTAGCAACTAATCTGGCCTGATATTTATCAATGGTTCTATCTGGTTTTAACTTCTTTTAAAAATCCATTTACATCCAATAGTGGTACAACCAGGAGGAAGGTCAACGAGCTCCCATGTTCCATTTTGAACAATAGAGTCCATTTCACTTTTAATGGCATCCTTCCAATAAATGGCCTCAGATGTGGCCATTGCATCTCTAAAGGAAATTGGATTACCATCAATATTGTAAGTGATAAAATCACTTCCAAAATCCTTAGTGATCCTAGCTCATTTGCTCCTTCTCAGCTCATCTAGATCATTTGATTCAAAATCAATATGACTAGAATTACTAGATTCTACCCCCCACATTTGTCATCTTTTCCACTTGATCATGAATTGAATTAAATGTGGTTTCTTGATTTCTAAAAGAAGTGTTTTGGGGCACACCCATTTTCATTAGAAAAGCATCTTCAAAAAAAGTAGCATCACGAAGTTCTACAATAGTATTGACATCTATGCCAGAAATTTCAGATTTAATAACCAAAAATCTCAATGCATAAGAATGTTCAACATAACCAATAAAATAGCATCAACAATTTTAGGCCCAAGTTTCTTTCTTTTGTGTTCAGGAACTAAAACTTTTGCAAGACAGCCCCACACTTTAAAATATTTCAAACTTGGTTTTCTTCCCGTCAAGAGTTCAAATGGACACTTATCTTTATGTTTCATGGGAATTCTATTCAGAATATGGCATGCAGTCTTCAAGGCTTCCCTTCACATAAACTTAGGTAATCCAGAATTTTCTAATAAACTGTTAATCATATCTTTAAAAGTTCTATTTTTCCGTTCATCTACTCCATTTGATTGTGGTGAATAAGGAGGTGTTTCTTCATGTACTATACCATATTTTTGCATTCTAGTACAACTAAATTAGAAGTATATTCTCCTCCCCTATCAGATCTTAACATTTTAACTTTCTTGCCAGTTTGATTCTCTATTTCATTCTTAAAAATTAAGAATTTTTCAATAGCTTCATCTTTACCCTTAAGTAGATACACAACAATATTTAGAATAATCATCAATAAAAGTGATAAAGTATTTCTTTTGGTCACAGGTAAGCACTCCATTAAACTCACAAATGTCGGTATGAATTAAATTAAGTAATTCTGAATTTCTATCAATTGAATGATAATGTTTTCTTACTTCTTTAGTAGTAGCATATACCTTACATTTCTTAGTTTTATCAATAGAGTGCTTAGGGATTAAATTTAGATTCATCATCCTTTTTACAAATTCTAAATTAATGTGACCCAACCGACAATGCCATAAACAAGAAGAATCACAATTCTTAGATACATAATTCAATTCAAAATAATCAACCACAATCTTAAAAAGTCCATCTCACAAGTAACCCTTGCCAATAAAAGTTCCACCAAATAAAATTACAATTTTATTTAATTTAAAAGATAGCTCATAACTCTCCTTAACAAAAATGGAACCACCAACAATGTTCCTTCTAATTTCAGGAACGTGACGAACCCCATGCAAGGACATAATTTTTCCTGAAGTAAATTTTATTTCTACTTTTCCAATTCCCTGCACACTTGCAGCACTTGTGTTCCCCATCATCACCATTCTTTCAACCACAGGCTGATAAGAAACAAAGAGCGATTTATCAGCACATACATGCACATTCGCTCCTGTATCTATTAGCCACTCATTGGAATTATAAATAGTGAAAATTTGAGGATTAATAGAAACGTACCCATTAGAACTAGTCCCTCCAGTCACCATGTTAACTTGAGGTCTCCCAGATTGAGCCTTGGCCTTTTTGTTAAGACACAATTTGGCCCAATGCCCCATCTGTCCACAGTTCCAGCATGGTTGGTTTGCCTTTGGTTTCTTTGCAATTTTTGGCTTTTATGGGTTTAAAAGATGACAGTTGCTTATTTTTAGAAATATGAGCTTGTTTCCCCCGGTTACAACATGAGCCTTTGGTTGAAAATCCATAGGCGCAACGTAGCCCACTTTCTTATGCTCTTCCTCAACAGATATGGAATGCATTAAAGATTTCCAAGTGATTTTTTTCATTTTATGTTTTAAAGTCATACCAAAATCTTCCCATGACTTGGGAAATTTTTCTATGACTGCCATCACTTTAAATTTTTCCGGCAATTCCATATCCGCTTCACAAAGAGAATGTAAGATAAACTCAAATTCTTGTGTCTTTTCTAAAACTGATTTACCTTCTTTCATGTCAAATCACAGGAATTTAGAAACAATATACTTCTCAAGACCGTGGTCATCCGTATTATATTTCCTATCCTACTCATCCCAAAGGTGTTTAGCCGTCCCATGGAGGATGCAATAGACATCAAACAACATGTCGGATAAACCCATGAGAATCATGCCTTTTGCAATTTCGTCCCTCTCACGCCAAATTGCATGACATTCAAGACTTTTGGGATCAGATTCAACAACTGGAGGACACACCATAATAACCACCGAAAGCAAGCCTTTGGTGATTAACCAATTTTTCATGCGTTGTTGCCAACGCTTGAAAAAAAGCCCAGAAAGTTTTTCGGACATTGCGATTAAATCCACCCTATGCGAGCCAGTAGCAATATATTCGGGTGTGTCTCCCGAATTAGTGACAGACACAAAATTATCATTTTCAGGGGCAACAAAAACATTCTCTAAACCAACAGTTTCATTCACTACAAAAAACTCGCTCTTTGTCACGGATTTTTGTCACGGATTACGGCCATGACAAAGTTGTCACGGGCTTTGTCACAGAATATTGGGATTTGTCACGAAAATGTGTTGTCACGGATAGGTCCGTGACAAAATCCATGACAAAATATTGTCACGGATTTGATCCGTGACAAATTTACTCCGGCGACCGGTTTTTTACTCCGATGAATACTTTTTTTGCTCCCGGGCATTTGTCACGGACAGATCCGTGACAAATCCGTGACAAATTTCAAAAAAACTTTGTCACGGATCCATCCGTGATAAAAGCCGTGACAAACTTCAATTATTGATTTTCCAGCGGTAACCTTTAATAATACAGTACGAAAAAAGGGTTGTCACGGATAAATCCGTGACAAATCCGTGACAAACGTTTTTATATAACCCAACCCCATCGTCCATTACAATTGCAAGAACAACAATTATCAGTTCAAAAATTCGTAGATTCGAGTGATGTAGTATCGGTTTAAAGATTGAATGATGTAATCCGTCAGTTCATCATTTTCCCAGTTTATGCAGATAAGGTATGTCATTTTAACTAATTTCTTTTAATTGTGTAATAAATTAATTATTAGCTTAATAATTAATTAGTGAGGTTAGGATTCTTTTTTCTTTATATAATAATAATTAATTATTAGCTTAATAATTAATTAGTGAGGTTAGCTGTTCATTTATTTAAACTATTAACGTAATTTAGTGAGGTCATGTTAATTTTCATATTATTAACAATATATTATTAAACTATTAACGTAATTTAATTAATTAGTTAAATTTAAATATAAATATTAATTAGTTAATGTGATGCATAATATAGCTAGGATTAGGCCGGTTTGTTTAATTAATTAGTTAAATGAGTTTATATCACCAATGATTAGGCCGGTTTGTTTATTAGCAATTATTGTTATTAATGCATAATTTAGGATGTGTAGTGATGATTTAAGTATTCGCTAGCTTATTATAGATTAATTAATTAGTGACTTGTAGTGATTTAATTAAGTTAGCTAGCTTATTAGGTTATTAATCATCACCAATTATTATTTATTAGCAATTATTGTTAATGGGATGCATAATATAGCTAGGATTGAAACTTTATTATTATTTAGTTTAGTGTGAATTATTATTGTGAATTATTAATGAGATAATATTTAACAACAATATTAGTTAAATGAAAATTAATTAACTAATTAATTAAGTTAAAACATTGAGGAAATGGGTTTAGAATTTGAGTTGATAATATTAGTTAGATTTAAATATTAGTTAATTGATCAATGATGATTAGGTTTAATTTGTTTATTAATTAGTTAATTATTGTTAATGCATAATTTAGGATTTGTAGTGATTTAAGTTAGGATTCAAACTTTATTAGTTAAGTGTGAATTATATATTATTGTGAATTAATGATATTTAACAATATTAGTTAAATGGAAATTAACTCATTAATAAGTTAAATTAGTTAATTACTGTTAATGGGCTGCATAATATATATAGCTAAGATTGAAACTTTATTATTTAGTTTAGTGTGAATTATTATTGTGAATTATTAATGAGATAATATTTAACAATAATATTAGTTAAATGTAAATTAATTAACTAATTAATTAAGTTAAAACATTGAGGAAATGGGTTTAGAATTTGAGTTGATAATATTAGTTAGATTTAAATATTAGTTAATTGATCAATGATGATGATTAGGTTTAATTTGTTTATTAGTTAATTATTGTTAATGCATAATTTAGGATTTGTAGTGATTTAAGTTAGGATTCAAACTTTATTAGTTAAGTGTGAATTATATATTATTGTGAATTAATGATATTTAACAATATTAGTTAAATGGAAATTAACTAATTAATAAGTTAAATTAGTTAACTTTAGTATTGTGAATAAATGCCATTAACGTAACGTAATAACTTTAATTAGTATTATATGTTAGTTAATTATTTAATGTGTACTATTAGAATAAATGTCATTATTTAACATATTACTATTAGTTAAATATTAGTGAATTATTAATTTCGGCCAGCTTAATGTTTCTAAATAATATTTTAGTGGGCGTTTCTACATGATTGAAAAGTTGGTTAATTCAAATTATTAATGCCACAAATAATGTACTGCTTTTAGTTAATTAATAATATTAATGTACTTATATAATATTTTGATTATAATATATATACAGGCATAATGTATAGACAAAACAGAAGTTGGATGTACCAAAAACATCATGATAACTATGGAATACGCAGTGAATTTTTTAATGGTGTTGAAGATTTTATTAAATTTGCACAAGAACAGAAGAATTATATGGATGGCGATAAAATCAGATGTCCATGTACAAAGTGTAAAAATCTTCAATTTAAAGATGTCGACCAAGTTGTGTGGGATTTGTACGAAAAAGGTTTCGTTGCCAATTATTATAATTGGACTTCTCATGGCGAACCTTTCGATCCATCACTTTTACCACAAACAGTAGGTTCATCTCGTAACGTCCCTACCGAGATGAGTGGATGGGGAGACTATGATCAAATGACGTGGAATCAAAGAATGGCATGTGATGTATACGGTGCTTCAACGATTCAGTTTAACCCACCACAACCATTTTACGATCTTCCCGAAGCTTCGACCTCGTATCAACCCGGTGTGGATGAAGATCCGACCTTTTATCAGCCTGATGCGGATGAGTATCCGAATTCTCATGTTCCTCATATTGAAGACTTAGCTGAAAGATTTCAAGATGTTTTAAAAGCTGCCGATCAGTCTCTGTATGCTGATTGTGAGGGATACTCTCAGCTATCCGCCGTTACAGAGTTGATGAACATTAAATCTGAATACAGTCTTCCAGAATCTTGCATGTCTAGGTTATTGCAGTCATTTGGAGGAATGTTACCGTGTCACCATAATCTTCCTGATTCATATTACAAAATGAAACAATTAATGTCTCAGTTGGGGCTTCCTTGTATAGAAATTGATGCGTGCCCAGAAGGATGTATGTTGTTCTGGAAGGATGATGTGGCACTTGAGACCTGCAAGTTCTGTGGTGGAGAGAGATACAAGCATGTTCCTCATAGACGAAAAAAACCACGAAAAAGGTCTGCATTGTCTAAATTGTTTTACCTCCCTCTAGCTCCACGCCTGAAGAGGATGTATGCTTCAAATGCTACTGTGAAACACATGACGCGGCATGTTGAGCACGAAACCAAAGAGGGTTTGATGTCTCACCCTTCCGACTGTGAAGCTTGGAGACACTTTGACCGTTGTCATCCTCAGTTTGCAATGGAGCCACAAAATGTGCGACTGGGATTGTGTTCGGACGGATTTGCTGCTTTTAGAAAGTTTGGGAAGAAATTTTCATGTTGGCCAGTCATGCTAACTCCTTATAATCTTCCTCCCGACATGTGCATGAAAAGTCATTTCATCTTTTTAACTTTAATTTGTCCAGGTCCCTCGGATCCTAAAAAAGGATAGACATCTATCTCCAACCCCTGATCGAGGAGATGAAAGAACTTTGGGCCATTGGGACATCAACTTATGAGGTTTCAAGAGATCAAATGTTTATCATGAAAGCTGCCATCATTTGGACCATTAGCGACTTCCCTTCTTATGGTATGCTTTCAGGATGGAGCACACACGGTCTTATGGGATGTCCGATATGTATGGAGAAATCAGATGCCAATTGGCTCAAATTTAGCGGGAAACCAGGTAACTTTGATTGTCACCGCAAGTTTCTGCCTATGAACCATCGATATCGAAAGGACAAGAAGTCTTTTATTGTCGGAAGAGTGGTACGAGATCCCCCTCCTCCAAGACTTACAGGTGAACAAGTTTTTAACCGGGTTCGACGTTTTCCTACGGCCGTGCAGCAACCCTACGGGGAGCCAAATGGGTATTGTGATACCCATAAGTGGACAAAGAGGAGTATATTTTGGGAGTTGCCGTATTGGAAAGACCTTCTCATTCGTAACAATTTAGATGTCATGCACGTTGAGAAGAACATCTTTGACAATATATTTAACACGGTTATGGATTTTACCCACAAAACCAAAGATGGTCTTGCATCTAGAAAAGACATGACAATTTGGTGCGACAGACCCGAACTCGCCGTCGATCTAGAATATGTGGGTAAAAAAATTCCAAGAGCAGTCTACCAACTCACAGCCCCACAAAGGGAATCAATATTAGAGTGGCTTGTTTCTCTGAACTTTCCAGATGGCTATTGTTCTAACTTGTCAAGATGCGTGGACCTGGACAAACAAACAATGACGTCGAGCATGAAAACTCATGATGCTCATGTAATCATGCAACGACTTCTGCCGATTGCACTGAAAGAGATGCTTCCTGCAGACGTCTGGGGCTGTATTACCGAAATCAGTCAATTGTTTCAGTCGATATGTTCCGCCGTTTTGGATGCCGAATCCCTGAGGAGACTAGAAGACATTGTTCCTATTCTGATGTGTAATCTGGAAAAGATACTGCCCCCATCATTTTTTGATGTAATGGAACATCTTTTAATACATCTTCCGTATGAGGCTTTGAATGGAGGGCCCGTCTTCTATCGTTGGATGTACAGATTTGAAAGGTTAGTCATAATTTCATTTATAAACGATGATTTGTTTAATAAGAACATTTGTTTGTTTACAAATTTTATTTTGCATGACAGATTTCTGGGAGATTTGAAAAAGAAAGCGATCAACAAGGCACACATTGAGGCTTCAATTTGTCAAGCATATTCTCAACAAGAAACCTCAACGTTTTCATCTTTTTATTTTGAGCGTGAAGTCATCAGTAAAAGAAAGAGACCTGCTCGGAACGATGACATTGGCAAGGATTCATATGATAAAGTAGTTTCTATTTTCAACTACCCGGGTAGAGGTAAAGGAGCTGCGACTTAACGTTACATCGTGGGCGGAGAAATGAAAATTGCACATACTTACATCCTCATGAATTGTCCAGAAATCTTACCATTTTATAAGTAAGTTGAATTGGTAGTTACATTTCTAATATAGCTAATATTTTTTTAATAATTAGAGTGTTATAATAATATCTTTATGTTTCAATTCACAGTGAATTTAGAGCGTCTTTATCAGCATTTCCTGATGATGCAATTGATGCAATGGTGGACTCTGACTTTGCATTATGGTACCAACAGCAGGTATTATATATATAAATACATTATATATAATATTAGCTAGTAATTTTTAATCATTACCTAATGTTATCATGTTTTAATTTGCAGATCAGGTACCGTGGGATTAACGACCCTCTGTTAGTATCATTATCGTGGGGCCCTTCTTCCTATGCAAAGGTTTGGCATTCATATGTGATAAACGGTTATACGTATCACACAGTCGAATATGGAGAAGGTCGACCAACAATGAACAGCGGGTTATGTGTCCCGACCATCGGTTCTGATAACTCGGAAACCAATTTTTTTGGTTTCTTGCATGAGATTCTCGAACTTCAAATGCCTTCTGGTTTGCAAGAATTAACATGCGTGTTGTTTCGCTGCAATGGGTCGACCCTACACGTGGTGTGAGAAAAAATTCAAAGTATAATATAATTGACGTCAACCACTCTCGTGTGTATCAGAAAAATGAACCATTTATACTCGCTCAACAAGCAGCCCAGGTTTATTATGCAGAGTATCCTTCAACGAGGCGCACACGGAATCCTTGGGTGTGTGCCATTAATATCCGTCCGAGCAAAATTGTAACACAGGCTCAACACAAGGATATTGACTTTGATGCTTTTCAGCAAGATTTTTTCCAACCTCCGCTTATTGCTGACACGGTCAACCATAACATTCAGTTAAGTGACCCAAATGGCGGAGATGTTGAAGTTATGCCTGAAACACATCTTTCGCCCCCTATACCTCAAAATGAGCACGAAATTGAAAAATTATATATACAACAACTGCACGATGACCAGGAGGAAGAAGAAGAATGGATATATGATGATGAAGATACAGAAGAAGAAGTTGGCTATCAAGAAAATACTGATTCTGATAGCGATTAAATGTATAGTTAACAACCAATGTAATTACTTTTAATTGAACTATTTTAATTTGAATTTTTAACTTTCTTTCGTCATTATTATATTATTCCAAGATAGTTAGGTATGTAATTCGCAACTATAATTTCTAAACTAAATAATTATTCCATATTATATTGTAAAATAGCGATTAATTAATTAATAAAATTAAGTTTTTAAAATTATTCAATCAAAAATTAGTGGTTCATTATTATCAATTCGGAAATTTAAAATTAATTAGGTAATTTCGAAAATTGAAAATTATTTAAATTTTAAATAATTCGAAATTTAACATTATTTAAAATTCGGAAATTAGTTTTTTAACATTATTTGTCATTAGTTTTTTAACATTACAAAATTTAAATAATTCGAAATTTAATAAACAAGAACATGAATTTATTTATTAAATTTAAAAACTAAGTAGAAAACACACAATTTTTTATCATTTATTACATTCAACAAGTCACAATACAGATAAACAAATAAACACAACATTATTCATTAGCGTCAAAGCTTTCATCTAAAGGCCTATCAAGTAGCTCGTTAATTGTTTCTGCAGCTTCCGCGTTTATAGGTATCATATACTCCGAACATTGTTCTGCACGTAAAAGTGTCCTACACAAGTTTTTCCCTTGTGAAACGTTGTATGAGTCTGATTCATAGTCTACAATATCGCCAAAGCTTTCAAGCGGTCTACTCATCAGCTCACGGATGCTTTGAACTGCTTCTGCATTTCGAGGCTTCATCAACTGTGTAACTTGTTTTAATCGTTGTACACTTCTACTGATCAACTTCCACACATCTGGTTCTGGATTAGCCATTTTTTCGCACTGAAAAAATGGGACTCTAAGCACATATTTATACTTAAATTTGTCACGGATAGGTCCGTGACAATTAAAGTAGCTGACGCCTCGTCTGAAAAAGGCTGAAAAGCTTTAATATTCCCTGCATCGGTTTGTCACGGATCCATCCGTGACAAATCCGTGACAAAATTCAAAAATTTGAATTTTGTCACGGATTTGTCACGGATGGACCCGTGACAAACCGGTCAACCTGCCGTTCTGCTACCTCGTCTGCCGTTCCCTGCCGCCTCGACCGCCGTCCCGCAGTTTTCAATTTCCGATGATTTTGTCACGGATTAATCCGTGACAAATTCAAATTTCAAAATCCGTAATTACGTTGTCACGGGCGTTGTCACGGATGGGTCCGTGACAACCCCTAATATATAAAGGACACTTAGCCATTTTTTCCTTACGCTCCCAATTCTTCAGCAAACCCTAACAATTTTTTCCCTTACTCTCTACTCCCAAAGCACTTGTGCCTCTTACACCCGCCGACCGCCACCCTCCCAAACGCCGTTCTGCCTCTATTACACCCGCCGACAGCCGCCCTTCTGCCTCTCTTACACCCGCCGACCGCCGCCGCACACATCTCTCTGGCCACCGCGGATTATCTCCACCTCTGCCGCCGTCCTTCGAAGCCGGCCTTCACTCCTTTCCCTTTAATTTCTTTCCTTCTTCTCCTTCATTGAGGTTATGTTTCTAACTCTTTAATTTCTGAATATTTTAGAATAAATGTTTTAAAATGCCAAAAATAAAATGCATGTTTTTCTTAATATTGTTTAATTGTTTAATTTAATGTTTATATGTTAATAAGTTATCATGCATTGAATATGTTTATATGTTCATATCTCATATACGTTCTATATGTTTATGCAGGGGTGGACCCAGGAAAGTCATTTGGGGGGGGGGGGGGCGAAAATATTTTTGGGGGGGTTCAAAATACTTTTTGGAAGAGCAAAAATCATTTTTCGTATATATATACACTAAAAAAAATTGTTGGGGGGGCGGTAGCCCCCCGGGTCTCTACTACGGTCCGCCCATGTGTTTATGTGCTTACATACTCACATATTTCCATATACTTAAATTATTGGAAAATGCATGTTCTATTTCTTTGAATATTATACTCAAATGCTACTGTTTGTAATATTATACACTCAAATGCATGTTTTACTTCTTTGAATATGCATGCTAAAAATATTTATGTTTCAATGATTTGTTTGTATATTCATATGCATTCATTGTTTCATGCTCTAGATTTATTGTTTAAAAATCTCGTAATTTATATGCATTCTCGTAATTTATTCATATGCATGCTCGTAATTTTATTGTTCGTATATTCATATGCATTCTCTTAATTTAAAAATGCATGCTTTAGATTTATCGTTTCATAATATGTGTATATCATTTGTTTATATGCTTAACCATGTTCTATCTTAATTTAAAAATGCATGCCTTAGATATTGAATGTTTATATGTTTTTGAGTTTTTCGGATATTTATTAAGAATAGTTAATTATTAAATATTTAGTCAAGGATATTTTTTAGTTTTCGTTAATTTCGGATATTTATTAAGAATAATAATTTCAACTCCATTAATTTTCGCCCCCTCATGTTACACTTTCAAAAAAGTTAACATGTCTAACCCAACAAAATAATGAAACTGTTAATTATTTTTTTTATAATATTTCGGATATTATAATATTTTATTTTAATATTATAAAACGCTCATAAAAATTTCGGATTATTTAACTGATTTTTAAATAATTTCGGATATTATAATATTTTATTTTAAATAAAACGTTGTTTCATAAAAAACATAAAAAACGTCGTTTTTTTACATTGTTGATAAGCTTGATAAGCAAATATGAAATAACTGAAATAATACAGAAATTAATAATAAATTTTTTCATAGGTAAAAAACAGAAATTAAGTAAAAAAATGTATTTTATATATTAAAACAGAAATAAAAAAACAAAACAAACTGTTTTTGTTTATATAATACGAAAATGATTTCATATGTTTCATGAAAAAATGATTTTATAAGTTTCATGAATAAACAAAAAATGAAACTGATTTTTAAAAATTTTATGAAAAAAATGATTTTATAGATTTCAAAAATCAATTTTTTCATGAAACATATGAAATCATTTTTGTATTATATAAACAAAAACTGATTTTTTATTTCAAAAATCAGTTTGATAAAAAATATGTGGATTTACAGAAATCAGTTTAATTTTTTAATTCAGTGATCAAAAATCAGTTTGATTAAAAATATCCGTGATTTACAGAAATCAGTTTAATTTTTTATCCGTGATCAGAAATCAGTTTGATTTTTTAATTCAAAAATCAGTTTTAATTCAGAAATCAGTTTTCTGATTTACAAAAAACTCATCCTACCCCTCATATTAAACTCAAGTTTAATATGTTCTATATTTCAAAGATTGATAAATACGTAACACAATTAAATTCAATAACATAAAAATCATACAAAAAACTCATTCTACCCCTCATATTAAACTCAAGTTTAATATGTTCTATATTTCAAAGTTTGATAAATAAATAGGAAACTAATAAGTTTAAACCATTATACCACACAAAAAATCCATAAACTGATTTTAGAAAACTGTTTTTTATAAATTAATACAAAATACAAGGTGTAATAAACTGTATTTTTCTAAATCAATGCAAAAAACTGATTTCCGATGATTTATAATTTAATATGGAAAAATTGATTTTATTAGTTTAATATAAAAAGTTTGATTAATTGATTTTATAAGGTTTGATAAAAAATATACACAACACAAGTTACCTCCATAACATAAAAATCATACAAAAAACTGATTCGACCCCTCATATTAAACTCAAGTTTAATATGTTCTATATTTCAAAGTTTTATACCACACAAAAACACCATATAATAATTTTGTAAGGTTTGATAAAATAATACCTAACACAATTAAATTCAATAACATAAAAATCATACAAAAAACACATTCTACCCCTCATATTAAACTCAAGTTTAATATGTTCTATATTTCAAAGTTTGATAACTAAATAGGAAACTCATTAAGTTTAAATCATCATACCACACAAAAACTCCATAAATTGATTTTATAAGGTTTGATAAAATAATATCTAACACAATTAAATTCCATAACATAAAAATCAAACTAAAAACTCATTCGACCTCTCATATTAAACACAAGTTTAATATGTTCTATATATTATTTCTCAATAATTTTAGATGAGTGAGCACGAACGCCGCCATTCCACCATTGCTCGTCGTGGGCGCCAGAATTCACGACGGGCCTCAAACGTTGATCGTGATATCAATGATGATATCAATCCCGACGAAGGACAAGCTCATTACGGAAATGTCCAAACTCCTCCCTCAGAACAATCAGACGCTCATATAAGCGTGCATGGGGAGGGGGCATCATCTCATGCACCTCCTTCATCTCGTGCAATATATGCCCCCTCACTCAAGAAGAGCGCCACAATCTCGGTTAACTTGAGGTGACACCTCAGTCAATCCATAGGTAATAAAAAACTAACACTGTCTAATATAAAATAGTATAATCTCTACATCTAAGAATTAATACAATTGTTTTTATCAATTTTTTGAAGCGATCCCGAGGTCTTGAATAGAATCAAGTCTATTGTTTGTGGTCATTTCACGGGGCCTTGGTCGACTTATGGTGAGGTTCCGGCGGCCACTCGTGAACTATGGTGGCGGTTGTTCAAGGTAAATATAAATTTTTTTGTTACATTTTAATAACTTAAATTTAAGAAATGATATATCAATGTTTTTACTGAAGGCTTCCCATCGGTGGCATTTTGCTCTAGACCAAGCTATTCTCAAAGAATACAATTCTAGGATTTCTGGGTGGTTGAGACCCACTTTTAGGACCGCCCGGTCTACCGGTCGAAAGCCAAGATTCCTTAGCGATGATGTGTGGGAGATGCTTTGCCGCCACTGGGCTACGGATGCCGCATTTTTGCTGAGAAGCGAAACGGCCAAGGCAAACCGGAACTCCGACAAAGCCAAAGGAAGTTCAATGGCACGAGGGCCGCAAACCCCAAATTCAACATAAAAAAGATCCGGTAAACTCTAATTAGTTAAAATTATTTCCATTCCATACCCTTATGTATATATTTTTTTATTAACTTTGAAATCCGTGTAGGAAGGATCTGGACCCGTGAAAAAACGGGTCACGCCATTGAAACTCATGGCACATTGCTGGACGAAGAAGGGTGCCATGCCGCCTCCCCGCCTTTCTGAAATTGAAGTAAATAATGAAACTTCAATAATTCAATAAATTTCGATTTTTTTTGATCTCTTATATAATAAATTTTTGAACTTGTAGAAAAAATATGAGGAAGAGCGGGGGAAGAGAGTTGATGAGCTAGCTGATTATGATGACGAACTTGATGAAAATCAAGAATATGAGCCATTTTGGCGGCAACCGAAGTTTACAAGGGCCGGGTGCCGCTTATGGGTTCTGAAGGCGTACGGATCCTGGAGAAGGCCAAAGGAGCTAGTTCATCTTCTCATTCGGCGTATGATGATCGGGTTACCCGCCTCGAGAAACTATTGGAGGAACGTGAAGCAGAGGCTCGAAGGCGGGATGAAGAAGCTCGGATACGGGATGAAGAGCAAAGAAGAACAAGAGAAAGGTTGGAAGAGATGGAACGACAAATGCGTATTTTCAACGCCACCTACCGTCCATCCATGCACATACAGCACCCCGAGATGACTCCACAAGTTCTCTTCGCGGGCAATATGGGCAATATGGGCAGTATGGGCAGTAGGGGTTTTGCTAATTATAGCCATATCTCCAACAACTTTCCATATGGATATTATGATGATACCTCTTTAGCGACTCCCGGAGCTCAAGCATACCGTGGCAGCAGCCGCGGTGGCAGTCGAGGCAGCCATCGTGGTGACAGTCGTGGCCACGAAAGGCAACCCAATCATCGTGACGAACCTGATGATGATGATGATGATTATGATGACCATTGATGGTTTGTAATAATTAGTTTATTGACATTTAAGGATTTTTAAATTTTGATGGTTAATGTATGAATATTAATTAATTGTGTTATATAATGATGGTTTGATTGGTTTATTATTTATTATGATAACTAATGTTTAATGGTGATTAATGATGATTAATGATGATTGTTTAATTATTTATTATAAACAATTATTTATTAAGATTAATGATGATGATTGTTTAACTATTTATTAAAAACAATGTTTATTAAGTTTAAATTTTTTAAAAAGTGCCTAAATTTTAATGGTTATTATTTATTAAATAAACTTTTGAAATAAACATTCAAAAAATTAATGCGCTGAATTTTGATTTTTTTTTTTAAATTTAAACTTTTGTCACGGACTGTTCCGTGACAAAATATAAATTCATTTTATTTTAAATACATAAAACGCTGAAAATAACGTATTTTTTTTTAAAAAATAATGTTTTGTCTCGGATGGGATCCGTGACAAGTTCAAAATTTTGAATTTTTTTTTGAAAATTTTAGAGTACCCGCCCACCTGTTTCGATTTTTTTCAAAAATTTTTCAAAATGTTTTGTCACGGCTATTTCCGTGACAAAATTTAAAATTTGAATTTTTCCGGATCGTTTCAAATACCCGCCCACTCTATTTCGAAAAACCTTTTTTTAAATTTGTCACGGAAATTTCCGTGACAAATAATTATTTTTTTTTGAAAAATAAAAAAATTTATTCACGGATGCGGTCGTGACAAATAAAAGGCGACGGAGTTCCGGTGAAGTGTTTTGTCACGGAAGGTGGCCGTGACAAATCCATGACAAACGGTCTCACAAATTAATTTCCGTGACAAAAACGTTATCACGTACCTGGTGACACGGATTTTTTGTCCGTGACAAATCCGTGACAAAAAATCATTTGTCACGGATTTTTTGAACTACCGTCCGTGACAAAATCCGTGACAAAGGGCGAGTTTTTTTGTAGTGATTGTTAAGAGCATTTTCCAAGTTTGTCATTTTTGGATTTTCCAAAACTCGAGAAATAAAATCTATCTTCAAGATTGTTAGAAAATTGATAACAAAATTGCGAGTTTAACCAGATATATATCCCGAGTTTAAACAAATCACCATGCAAACCGCCAAATGCAAGGAAAGAAAACAACAACAACAACAACAATAATAATAATAATAATAATTAGAATAAATTGAAATGAAATAATAGAAAGGATAATAAATGAGTTTAATTAAAAAAGGAGCATGTTATATACAACAATAAAGGTAGAGATTTTATTAAATAAATCTCAAATTAGTAATTCTTATATTCTTTAATTCCTAGAAAGAAACAACATACATAATTAGTACATAATTAGTAAATCTCAAATTAGTAATTCTTATATTCTTTTGCATAGTCTATAAAACCTTGTAATCCATTCCAAAACTCTTCAGGTAATCGATTCTTTATAAATATCCAACTTTTATCTATCGGCATCCTTGCCAGAAAGTGATCAACTTGAAGGCTCTACCAATCATTCATATAAAGAATAATAAATGAGTTTAATTAAAAAAGGAGCATGTTATATACAACAATAAAGGTATAGATTTTATTAAATAAATCTCAAATTAGTAATTCTTATATTCTTTAATTCCCAGAAAGAAACAACATACATAATTAGTACATATTGACATGTGTTTCAATATGAGCATAGATTTTTCATCGAAGTTGTGAAGTAGCTAAAATTTGAATATGAAAGCACAGCACCTTAACGTAACTAGCCCATACAAAAAATCGAACAAAAATGGAGACAAAAAGAAACAAATAAAAGGCCCAGGTAGCTACGACTCAAATAATATAGTGTGGTTAAAACATAGTCACACACCCACTTTGTTGACCTAAGACTCAAATCATCATTGCATTCATTGAATACTTGAATCATACAGACAAGAATAAGCATGCCATGCAAAATAAACATGTATTTTAGCTG